GCACTGGGTTTCTTCTGGTTCCTTACAACTCATTGAAGCCCGTCGGTCTACTCCGGGTGACCGTGAGTTTGACCATAAACGAAGGATGTTACGTAAGGAAATTGGGCAAAGCTTGCGTAAGGACCGAGAAGCCTGGTGGTCGAAGCGTGCTAATGAGCTGGAAGCAGCAGCTGCATCTGGTAATTACCGGAAGCTCTTCCAACTCATCCGAGCCACTGTCAGTAAGAAGTCTGGTGTGAGTGAAACAATCTGCGAGGATGATGGGATGCCAATCACTAACATCCATCGACGTCTTGGACGATGGGCAGAATTTTTCGAAGGGCAGTTCAACTGGCCTGCTGCTCCGGCAACATCGGTCAGACAGTCCTGCCCTCCATGGCCGGTGACGACTGATCCACCAAATGAGGAGGAAGTCCGCAAGGAACTCCATCTCTTGAAGCGTTACAAATCACCTGGCCCAGATGACTTACCTCCGGCTCTTTTTAAAGATGGTGGTGACTTTTTGACTAAGGAATTGACGACGTTGTTTACAAAGGTTTGGGAACTAGAGAGTGTACCAACGTCATGGAATGAGTCGATAGTTGTCCCTATCTTTAAAAAGGGTTCACGTCGTTCCTGCAACAACTATCGGGGGATAAGTCTACTTTCGATTGCGTCCAAGCTATTGGCTTCCATCATACCTCGTAGGTTGTTCAAAACCCGAGAATGATTGACTCGCGAGGAGCAGGCTGGGTTTCGTTCTGGTCGAGGATGTATTGATCATATCTTCACCCTCCGCCAAATGTTAGAACATCGCCATACTTATCAAAGCCCAACAATCGTAGTGTTTCTTGACATCAGGGCTGCCTTCGATTCGTTGGACAGGACTGTTCTCTGGGATTATCTATTGAGGAAGGGTGTGCCTGAGAAGTTTATTAACATCCTGAAAGCCTTATATACAAACACCTCAGGCAGAGTGAGGGCATACAACCACCTCTCTCCATTGTTCCATACGAGCAGTGGGGTTAGACAGGGTTGCCCAATCCCACCATTCCTCTTCAACTTTGCCATCGATGACATTCTGGAAACAGCTCTGATGAATGTAAGTAATGGTGGTGTGGATCTGTTGCCTGGAGAAAGACTTCTCGACCTTGAGTATGCGGACGATATTGTCTTACTATGCGATAATGCCCAAGGCATGCAATCCGCACTTAATCAGTTGGCAATCAGTGTCCGTAGGTACGGTATGAGCTTTGCACCTTCGAAGTGCAAAGTACTTCTACAAGACTGGCAGGATTCTAATCCTGTACTCACTCTGGATGGTGAGCAGATAGACGTAGTCGAGAAGTTCGTGTATCCGGGTAGCTGCATAAGTGCTGGTGGGGTTGTGAGTGATGAGATCAATGCACGAATAGTGAAAGCCAGAGCGGCTTATGCCAATCTGGGCCACCTTTGGGGCCTTCGTGATGTTAGTCTGGCTGTAAAAGGTCGGATCTGCAACGCGTCGGTGAGAGCAGTTTTGCTCTATGCTTGTGAAACCTGGCCTCTCCGAGTTGAGGACGTTAGACGACTCTCCGTGTTCGATCATCGCTGTCTCCGAAGGATTGCTGACATCCAGTGGCAACACCATGTCAGTAATGCAGAGGTTCGGCATCGTGTGTTCGGGCACAGAGATGATAATTCAATTGGTGTTACCATCTTGAAACACCGACTTCGGTGGCTTGGACATGTTCTACGAATGTCATCTCAGAGAATTCCACGTCGTGCATTATTTGCGGACTCTGGGACTGGTTGGAAGAAGCGGAGAGGTGGTCAGTGCATGGCATGGTGTCGTGGTATGAAAGAAAGCTGCAAAAGGCTGGCTTCAGTCGGTCCTTCACGACTCCCTGGTTGGGGTCTGAGAGATGGTGCTACACAGTGGCTAGAGAGGCTATCAGATATGGCTCAGAATAGAAGCCAGTAGCGATCGTGCTGTAACCTTCTTTTACTTTCTTCATAAAAAGTGGTTGTGTCACCTTTACCTGAAAGATTTCTTCCGATTGTACCTTTGCGTTCCCTGATTACTAGCACATTACCTTACACCAATCTCTTCGTTATTGTTCTCTCTTTTTTTTGTTGCGCTCCTTAGCTTTTTTTTCTTTCTTTGTATTCCTCTCGAATTTTCATTGTTTTGTGTGGCGCATATATATTGGCGCTCTCTTGTACCAATATTCATGTGTTCAAATAAATAAATAAGCGTCTTCAACAAACAGGATTATAACATCTGCGTATGCTAAGTTGGTAAGTGGACCTCCTGGTAGGAGATCAATGCCCGAGAACTCAGTCGACAAGAGCGTTATTTCCACCAGTTAGTCTATGGTGAAAATGAATAAAAATGGAGATAGTGTACGACATCGCCGGACACCACGAGGTTGCAAAATCAGACGATAGTTCGCCATGAGCTCTAGCTCGACTGGTAGCGTTTGAGACAGCTAATAGTCTTCATGCATTAAGAATTCTGTAACATAGATTCACGAAAGCTGCTTTATAGTCCACATCGTTGTGATCCGATCGACTCGTTCCTTATACACCTACAACTAGTATATAACTTTTATCTAAAGAGCGTTTTAACGAGTAAAGATTCATGTACATCCATAGTCTATTGTTGTCCTCTGGTCCTTCAAATATCACGTGACAGGACCAATAACCAGAATACCGGATATTATGACCCTGAGTTTGTGCTAATCTGATGACATGTCAACTAGCACTAGCAGCCTTGAGTCAACTTTGAATACTTATTGGTCTTATAATGGTAGTTTATTCCCTAGTATGGCCCTTCCAGTCCGTAACACAAATATCAGCCTCCGCTACATGGATCCTATATTTCAGACATACGTGTTTTATATACAAGTCAGTCAGCTACAACGTAGGACCAGGCATATATATGCACCGGTTCAAGTTGCCATACCTCATTAACACAACAAGATGGACACCGGATTCATAAAAGTAGTTAATTCAGAGGTGGTAATATATAAGAGAAAGATTGCACAAGTAGGCTAGACCACACCACAAAATGAAAAATAATTATTATACAAGATCAAGCCAAATGTGGGTGTCAGTGAAGGAGGCTGTAACTAAAAGATTGGGTATAAATTAAGAATAGTATATCGCGTAACAGTAAACATCAGGTGAAATGAAAAATCGTGAATAAAGGAATGCGAACGTGTACACATACTCGTTACTTAATAATTACCCAATAAGAACATACGTAATAACAGTTCATAAGAATTGCTAGCAGTTGCCATTCATTTTTTCGTCGTTTGGATACCATACTTATGAGGGCTAACGATACCGAGTCTGGTCGCATAGAGGTGAACCCTGCCTCGGACCTGTCACCTAACAAATGAATGTACTACGCACTAAACCATTCTTAAAAAGTAATTTGCTAATAAGTTAGTGTCATCAATATATCTTTTACCATAGTAGCAATCAACCGGATTTTTCTACTACTATACAGTGACTAGGAAAATCTACGAAAATTGCCTGAAAACAATAAACTCATCCCAACCGAAGAAAACGTTTGACGACAATGCTTTAACGGTTCTAATGACTTGTACACTAATATTATTTTATAAACCGTCATTACACATAAATCGATGCAATAATAACATACAATTGTGTATGTAACTAGACCTCAACCTCTACTTAACAGAAGTTCATCATTACTATGTATCACTCACGAACATTTCATGGAAAACCCATCGGCTTGAAAATATGACTGAGCACTTTATTCAAATGTATAGCACTAGTTTCTAAGGATAACTTTACAATCCCTTGTTTTAGACGACCAGCAATACCTAGAACGGTATTCTGAATGGCAATATATGGTAAATGGATGTTCCATTAGTCATAATCCAACCTAGTTCCTTAATTAGAATACACGGTCTGAAAAAATAATAGCTCTATTTAATATGAAGAGATCTGTTCCGCGAAACGACCTTAAAAACAACTCATGCTAATAAGATTAAGTTGATTACTATAAGGACAAACATAAGTTGATGTCTTCACGAAATACCACAATTTTAAATCACACTAGATGAAACGTTTGTAAACGAAAGGTGTCGATTATTAAACTTTGTCGAACTATATGGACATTTCTTATTGAAACACATAAACATTGATACAAAGAATCACTAAATACGGACGCGCCTCACAAATCATTCGATTTGTGTGAGGGCTGGGCCCCAAAACCGAAACAGGTTGTCCCCTTAGAAAACCACTCTCCGAGACTTTGACCTAAAGATCTAATCCACAAGGCAGTGGAGCAACTTAAGGAGATGCAGTCCCATGGTAACCGGTGACCAAGAATTGGTTTACGTCATTTTTTCTCGCAGGATCCTGGAACCCATGTGCATCTTTGATTTGGGATCAAGGTTTTCCAACTCCCCTAGGTGGGCCCTCCATATCCACCAACCGAGTTAAAGCGTCGGACATCTGTTTTTCGTCCTCTTAATTTCGTAGACAACACCCCCGCTGAGAAAAGGCAATGAGTAGAGATTTTGACAGTTGTAGTATATACATGGCTATGTAAGAGCATTTCGAGAGGGGAACGGACTGTCCCAGCCCTCGACCTTACCATGGCATTTGGAGGTTAATGGTGTCCGTCTTGAACAGGACACGAACCTGTAACCTCTAGAATAGAAGCCCGGTGCAAAAAAGTTAGAGCCAGGTTTTTTATTTTAGTCATCAATAATCAATACTATTATTACCTTTAACTGAGAACTGAAGACAAACCTTTCAACATAACATGAAATCAAACGACTGAAGTTTAAAATGCGCGAATTCTAATTTATTTCCCAATTAAGCACCGCAGTGAACAAATTGAAGAATCAGAAGTAGTAACACCCAAAGATGTGATGACAAGGGCGGTGTTAGATGGAAAAATAAAAATCGAAGATTAGTGACCAGATAACCAACAATAAAGACTGAAAGTTACTCAGCTAGGAACAAATATTAAATGTATAAGTGGGCTCAAATTTAGGTTACAGAAAATCAACAATGTCATCAGGCATCTCAAGAATTTCTGTGTTGAAATATTGCTGCAAGTCACTCAGAGCTTCTATTTCTGAATCAACGATGAAGTTGATGGCTGTACCTTTTCTTCCAAAACGACCTCCTCTCCCGATTCTGTATAAGTGAAAATTATATCATATAATAGGAACAGACCTGTGAATATATGTCTCACGATTACTAGGTAAGTCATAGTTAACGACTAGAGAGACTTGCTGTACATCAATACCACGCGCCAGAATATCAGTGGATAGCAAAATTCGTGATCTTCCACTACGGAATTCCTCCATAACTGCATCACGTTTTTCTTGATCCATATCACTATGCTAAAGAATAGAACATTTAGTAGGTTCAATATAGCAAATTACAATGCACGAAACTTGGAACTTTTTGAGCCTAAGCTCATGAGAAATATGTGTGGACTTGTTTACAGAGTTAACGAAAATAACGACTTGACTTAAATTCATTATTCCATATAAGTCCATTAAGGTCTCTAATTTGTATTCTTCTCTGCACACATTGATATAAAACTGTTTGATCCCATCCAATGTTAATTCTTCTTTCTTAATCAGTATTTGAACAGGATCATGCATTATACTCCGCGCAACAGAAAGCATTGGTTTCGGCATAGTCGCAGACAGTAACATGATCTAGTGTTAAATGAAATCATACAAAAGTGTAATTACTTGAGAAGTGTCAGGTAAAAATCTATATATTTCTTTAATTTGGGGTTCAAAACCACGATCAAGCATTTGATCAGCTTCGTCCAACACGAAAACCTTGATATTAGCGGTTGCCAGAGTATTACGATTCATCATATCAAAAACACGACCAGGAGTACCCACAACAACATGCTGACCCTGTTGGAGGCACGCCATATCATGAGAGGTCCTTGTCCCCCCGATACATGTATGGCATTTGACGGTTAGATAGGAACCAATGCGTTGCATAACCTGAAAATTTTTATTATTGATACACTAATTACCGTTTGGATTTGTCTTGCAAGTTCCCTGGTTGGTACGAGGACAAGGGCTTGACAAGTGTTTGATGTAATATCTATCCTTTGTAAAATGCTGATGGCGAATGTTGCCGTTTTCCCTGTACCGGACTGAGCTTGAGCGATAACATCACGACCCTCGATAGATGGCTTAATAGCTCGCTGTTGAATGGCCGATGGCTTTTCATAACCATAACCATATATACCACGAAGAAGTTCTGGTTTTAACTCCAACTTCTCGAAGCCATCGACTATTTCAGTATAATTAGTCTCGATTTCAGAATCTTCTACAAAATTACTGGAACATTTGCCAAAATTAATATATTAGTGAAATATAAATACAAAAAAAAACCTGAGAAAGTAAATGTTGATAATCGTTTTTTCACTTAACACAATATAAACTATCGTATAACCTGTCTTCTCGTGGCGGGGGTGTTGTTTACGAAAATGAGAGGACGAAAAGCGAATGTCCGGCGCTTTAACCGTATCCCAAACCAAATCAATGGTGCACATGGGCTCCAGTATCCTGAAGGAACAAATGGCGTATGAACCAATTTTTTGGTCACCGGCTTCCATGGGACTGGATCTCTTCACGATGCTCCACTGCCTTGTGGATTAGACCTTCAGGTCGAAGGCTCGGGGGGTGGCCCCCTAAGATAACCACCTGCTTCGGTTTGGGCACCCGGGCAGTATCACAGCCCTTACACACAACCAATGAGATTTGTGTGGCGCATATGTATTTGGTACCTCCTTGTACCAATATCTATGTTTTGAAATAAAATAAATAAAATAATAACCCGAAAAATTATATTTCTCTAAATTCCCAGCGACTGACAATCTTTAACATGTAATTCCTTCTAGATTTTGCGTCAAATGCTTGTACGTCTCTTACTTACGTTGTTCTGAATACAAATAACTCTATTCACTGAAACAAATGAACTCATCAATGGCAAAGATAATGATCAATTAGTACATCAGTTTAGGTATTCTGAGTGTTATTACAATAAAGTTCAGTGGACGTCTTGTGAGTGCATATTTAGTGGAAGTGTTCAAGGCCTCCAGACTTCACTCAACAAGATCAAGGTTTGAAACCTGCTCAACCTACTTTATCTGAGTAGACTGATAGTATCACGAGCACTCAAACTAGTTGAAGCCAAGTACAAGAATATATGTCTAGCAAATGGAAGTATGCTTAAGTCGATCCATCAACCTATTGAAGATTTAAAAGGCGAGTATTCTAAACTGTTTTCTAGTTTCAATTTAAAAGCCTCAAAAACAAATAATTACCAAACGATTGAGGGTAATTACACACATGAATTAGATTTCACGGTAAATGTCTAGTCAGAAAACTGGCTCACAGAGAATGATGGGAATATATCGAGAATAAGAAAACAAGTTAAAGAAACTTATCTAAAGGAATGTATGAACTTGTTAAAAATCAGTGAAGCGTAAAAATGTACGTGTATAAGCACGACAGCTGTTTGATGAGATAACAAGGTTAATACTCACGACTCGAATCTGACGAAGAATTTGAGTAGTAGGACGTTTGGATTAACGCGACTAAGAAATCTCGTACATGTTCGCGTACTTTGAGTTACACCAAACTTTAAGAGTCACGTGTATTTCCTGGTCACCAAAACTGATGTATGTCGAATTGGGAAACTCAGTTAAGTGGTTGAAATATGGAATAAATGTGTAAACTTCCACATGATATACAATCAGTAATAACTATGCTACCTGGTTGCGCAAACCGTAGTACTTGGAGCGAGAATAGTAAGGGCCGACTTTATTTAGTGCGAAACGTAGTTCCGAAAATGTTGAGATTATTTATCGTCAGTACCTGGACGTCATACCTAGAAACGCTAAATAGATAGATTATAGGGAACTACATATTCGTTACGAATCCTTCACACCTTTTACAACTTCAAAATTCAGTTTTAGTTTATTCGGGTTTATATGATTGTTGGGTTTGCGTCACTCCAAAGACAATTGATAGTGAAACACGTGGTTACGTCATACACTATCGTTACACAAGGAAACAATCAACAGAAACCTCATCACATTAAGAATATGTGATATAACTGAAGCAGACTCTGTTGACATGATATAACAAAAGCAAAAGATATGTGACTTAAGATAGCAGTAGATGTTTGAATCGGTTTTCAGTTTACAATAGTGACGGATCGTCTCGCTCTCATTTAATCTTGGAGTACAGATAATTAATGCTAAGAAAACCCAAAATGAGATTGCAAGGTATGCCATACTTAGGTCATTAATTCAAATTAGGTCTCAAGAGCTGATAATGTGTATTTTTGTTGATAATGCACTTCCTAAATGGTTCTAGTAATCCAATTTTTTCTTACATCCTACTTGGGAATTTAAACGACTGCTGTGATCCAAAAATTCTTAACTAAGTTGAAAAATTTATTAGTACACCAGCTAAAAGCCAATGTTTTACATAGGAAATAACATGTAGATAACGGACCTCATAACAAACAACTGAGCGTGACAGAAGACCAGACCGCGCTTTTCCTGATGTGAAGACCTATCGAAATACCATTTAACTAAACACAGTACAAAAATATTGGTCTAAGACACATCAGATATTATGCTATCCTTTGATGAAACTATATCAATTTTATTATTTAACCGCATTAAAGTGCATGTTTTCGAAATTGTTACCAAGATAACCAATGAACACAATTATCAGCATCTGTATGTTTATCTGTCAAAAATACACATTCAGTCAGATCATTTTCCCAGTCTACTGTGACGAAGAAAATAGATTTATACGTTGATGTATATCATGAGGCAGTGAGAAAACTGACACAAAAGGCCTCTTTCGGATATTTTATAAAGAATAATATAAACTCTTCGACAAAATCTGTTGAGAATCACATTTAAATGAGTTATATTTTTATCGTTTCACGCAATAAGAATTGGCAATGCAACCAAGTGGAGGCATAACACGGGAGAGTATATAATAATATCTAACATGTATAACATATGATTGTCATCCAAGTGCTCTGAGGACCTCTCAGACCTTCCGATGTGAAACGTTGTAGGCTGGTTGTCAGATACCATTGATGTTCCGGTGAGGTCATTAACTCCCAAGGACTGCATTGTAGTCGTAGTATTTTTGTATCTCTCGATAGTTTTGGTGGTACCGCCGTCAAAGAACTTTCCCTCTAAGTAACTAGACTCTAGCCGATTGGTGCTGATTTCATCTTAAGTTCCGATCCTATCACTGATATAGTACATAGGTTTGTACTCTAAAGAACTGTCAGGATACTTCGTGCGCACAAAATAGTAAGGCAGGTTGAACGAAAACAACAGTTAACGACATTCGAGTAGAAGTGGTTTACTTGGATGAATCGCGTTTGTATGCAGGAGACTAGATCTACGTTCATGAAAAAAGATTGAGGTATCCACGAATTCCACAAAGTTCGTGCCGTAAACGAGTCTAGCTGCACTGCATACAACGTCAACTACTGTTGGATTACGAATTCGGAGTAACACAAGTGGATGTATGTCAGTGCATTTTGATAGATTTGCATCCGAGTGTAAAGCTTTCAACAGTCGATGAAAGCTGTCTACGAACCCGTTGGCCTGTGTGTGGTAGGTGATTGTTCGTAGTCATGTAATTCATGTTTATTCATATCAGACCAGCAAAATTGTTCTCTTATGAGATTGATGGTAGGACAATTAACTCGACCAGGAAGTTTACACATTGTATTGAAAACACTGCGTCGAAAATGTTTCGGCATGAATAAACGATCGCCACCTGTAGATGCATTACAGTTTTCTTACCTATTCTCATCTGTTTGATTCTCAATCTAGGGGTCGCCGTTGACAACTCATGTCGAAGATCTTTGCGGACTTAGGAGCCTCTCAACTCTGGAAACCCTTCGAGGAATTTATACGAGGCAAAGCGTCCGCAACCAAACTGTTTGTTCATTAAATGCATTGTATATCTGAAGTAAACTGAGGAATTTAGTCGATTTGTCGAGGCTCTCGAGGGGCGTAATTATCTGAAGATGAGCTTGGGGAGAAGGTAAGAGGTTCGTGGTGGGCAAAGAGAGTGAACACAAGACGGCTACCCTCGAAGATAATATTCGACCTTCATCACGTCAGTGAATAACGGAATAGAACCACGGTAAATACGAAAACGGATTCCGAATACCTATATTTTATACAGTCGTTGATCCAGATGAACTATCAGAGAACTGAAACGGAGAAAGAGAAGGGGAGAGGGGGAAGTGAAAAAAACATAATTCGGTGGAGAAGGTAAGTCAGCCGACTCTACTTAATTAAGAAAGAACAGATATTTTTAGTCAAACGAAAATAAGTTACAGACATGTTATGAATAGATTAAACAATATACGCACATATGATCATATAAAAATAGTCAGGATTAGTGAGTGAAGTGGTAACAAAGTCAAAATGTAGCTTGAGAAGAATAAATAAATAGGTGTTCAGAAGCTAGAATAGCCTATGTGCGCTAGACATAAGGCCATTCACTACAAGTTTGTGCAGTACTTTTCAAACAGAAACTGATATGCAAGTATTCATAGGATCTTCAGGGAGTGATGAATTTTATTATATGAATGTCGTCAGCAGCCACAGGAATTCGATCATACACTTCAACCAAGTCGGTTTTCGAAGGACGTTGGTACTTTTCAAATTTTCCTTCAGATCGTAGATACGGCAAGCGGGCCTGCTCTCCCCACTGAATTATCGATAGTTTCCTGTCAGATGTCAGTCATTGCTGTCTTTTCTAAGGAGCATGTGAAATGTAGATGCTCATGGGCTGTTTGATGTTCAGAATATTCCCAAGTCTGTCACATGTGCGAATTCGTTTTTGGCCAAACTTAGCTTTTCACAAACCAGTCTCAGAAATACGGGTTGGCCTTAGTCTTTACACGGTGTGTAGCACTGTTATTATTATTATTACTGGCTTAATTCAATATTATATTTTGGTACAATATATAATTCTCAGCACAGGCTACTTCAACAAGTTACTCACGCAACAACAAAAAATAAACAAGGGTTTTAAAAAAACCGAAAAACTGTACAACTTTTCAAGTTAGAGAAATGTTAAGAATGCAGGTTATTGACTAGATTAACTCTAACAACCTGTTCGTCACAGAGTATATTTGCTAGGTAAGGTATTATAGGACGTTTATACTTTTGCTTGCGTGCATGGATTTTAATGTAATTACGTCTCGTTCTACCAGAAGATATACAAGGAGAAAGATAAGAGTGAAGGGGATGGTTAGTATCTGATAAAATAACACCTGCCAGGAGTTTGCATGACTTTAAATGTCTATCCACAACCATATTAATTATGACCTCGAAAGATTCACCACACATCTTGCTAACTGCCTTCAGCACTCTCTGCAATACAGCAAAGTCTTTTCTCAAAAGCCCGGAAAAGAATAATGGAGAACAGCAAACATAATAGGTAATATGCAAGAATTGACAAATTGTAAGAGTAAATTACGGGTAATCCCAAGAGCATGCAATCTCTTTATGTAGTAGGTCAGACGGAAAACCTTCTTTGATAACAATAAAACGTGGGAAGACCAATACAGATCAGAGGAAAAGATGACACCAAGATAATTGACTTTCGACACTGAGTTCATCGAAGAGTCTCCGATGGTACAATCATTATGGGATCTCATTATAGTGTTTAAATTCCGTTCATGTCTCATGCAAAAGTTAATAGCTTGACATTTAGACGGATTAAGTATGAGACCATTATCAACAGACCAACAATCAATACGAGACAAAAACTCATTCATTTCTATGGGATGTTAAGAGGAAGAGATAGGCATACATACAGTGAGATCATCCGCATATTTCACAAAAGTGTTTTCAGTGAAAGATGGCAGATCATGCAGAAAAAAAGAGAAAAGAAGAGGTGAAGGAACAGATCCTTGTGGTACACCTTCATGAGACAGTAGAGACTCTGAGCACTTTCCTCCAAACACAGTGTACTGTTCCCTTCCAGAGAGGTAGGAACATAGCCAGTTGGTTATCCAGCTGTCAGTATTGACGCCGATTAACTTGTTAATTAAACGTTGTCCTGGTATAGAATCAAAAGCTGAAGTATAGTTCATAAAAGCATATCGAACATACTTCTTACCCTTTTCTAAGTTGAACACTATATTGTGACGCAGAACAGCAACAGCATCTAAGATGCTTCTGTAAGCAAACTGATAAGGATCAATATGCTCTTTTATCGCAGGCTAAAGTGGAAGTATTAATAACTTTTCCATTGTTTTGAGGAAAAGTTATGTTATTGCAATAGGTATAAATTTTACGTTCTTATCACCTGATGCTTTCTTGGGTACAGGAATTATCTTCATCTTTCTCCGCACTTTCGGTATGAGATTAGAAGAGAAGGATCTGTTAAAGGTAGTTGTGAACAGATAATATAGGACGTCAGCACACTTTTTAAAAAGGATGTTTGGGATACCATCAGGTCCCAAACATCGAAATGATTTAAGCGACTGAAGACATCTTCGTACATCAGTTTCAGTGAAAGTAGAAACACAGCTATTATTTAAACCCGTGGATAGAGGGAGCATCATATCACATGACTGACGTACAAAAGACTCATTTAAGTCACAAACGTTCAGCTGGTTATCGCTTCTAAACTTTCTGTCACCTGTAAGATCTTTAAAGAGTTTCCACATACATGGAGAGTTTTTGCAAGACAAGAGTTTTGGAGTAAACATACAGTTGAGACGTCTAATCTCTAGGTTTATCAGACCATTTAACTTACGAACTTCATTAGAGTGTTTCTCCTTGTACATTCTTTCGTTCACCCTCCGTAGTCGTTTTAGTTGTGAAGATGTGGGTTGATCAAAACTTACAAAAATGGTTTCAATGGGACAACAAATATCAAAACAGAATTTAAGGTAACAAATGATAACATCACTAGTGTTTTCCACTGAATCATCTATAAATAATTCTCAGTTAGTCGTATGAAAAATGTTTTTCAGATTTCGGATATTTTCGGCGAGACTCTAATTTAGCGACGACCTTTGAACGAATCTTAAATGACCTTGACAATTATTAGCCAATCAGAAGACAGTTAGTATAAAGTAAGAATATATTGTAAGTAAGTAATGAATTACAGTGGATATTCTTTTTTCTACATGATTTAAAAACTTGTTAAGGTTTGATAAAGGTTCAGAGGCTCTGAATTCATAATGCATTTTGTATAGAAACTCTTCCATAGGGTTAGTGGTTAGGGTTGTAGCCTGTCAATAGACACCTCTTCTGTAAAATCCGATGTAAACCGATGGCATGTTAGCACCCTAATCCTAACCTAACTCTAACCTCAACCTAATCCTAAACCCTAATCTAATCCTCACCTTAACCTAACCCTAAACCCTAATCTAACCCTAACCCTAATCTAACCTTAACCCCTAACCTTAACCTAACCCTTAACCCTAATTTTAACCCCTAACCCTATGGAC